AATAATAATAATAATCAGACTCCTAGTAGATACTTCCTTTAAATCACTTCCCTCTAGGATGACATTTTTTTTCTAAACTGTTTGATGTCCAATTTATGAATTATGTGAATTTTTCTTTTTCACTTATTAATTGAAGTGTAACATACAGTGATGTGCATTAAAGTCATGACAACAAAATGACTCTTAGGCTGGGTGCAGGGCTCTCGTCTGTAATCCCAGCACTTTGGGAGGCTGAAGCATGAGAATTGCTTGAGCGTGGGAGGCAGAGGTTGCAGTGATCTGAGATTGCACCACTGCACTCCAGCCTGGGCATCAGAGTAAGACTCTGTCTCAAAAGAAAAAAACAAAAACAAAATGACTTGTCACAGATGTTAAATCAGGATACAGACCATTTCGCACACCCCAGAAAGTTCTATGTCCCTTCCCAATCCACACCACTCCTTCACAGGAGGTAAACGCTATCCTGAGTTCTCTCATCAGCAAATAGTTTTGCCTCTTGAATTACACAAGTATGTACTTTTGTGTCTGACTTTTTTGTTGTTTAATATGTTTGTGGAATTCATTCACGTTGCTGTGTAATTATCAGTTCACTTCTCTTTTTTCTTTTTTTTTTTTGGGACAGAGTCTCACTCTGTCACCCAGGCTGGAGTGCAGTGGCGTGATCTTGGCGCACTGCAACCTCTGTCTCTTGCGTTCAAGCAATTCTCCTATCTCAGCCTCCTGAGTAACTGGGATTACAGGAACACACCACCACACCTGGCTAATTTTTGTATTTTTGGTAGAGACAGGGTTTCACCATGTTGGCCAGGCTGGTCTCAAACTCCTGGCCTCAAGTGATCTGACCACCTTGGCCTCCCAAAGAGCTGAGATTACAGGCATGAGCCACTGTGCTCGGCTGATTTTTGGCTATTAAGAATACAATTGCCGGCCGGGCGCGGTGGCTCACGCCTGTAATCCCAGCACTTTGGGAGGCCGAGGCGGGTGGATCACGAGGTCAAGAGATCGAGACCATCCTGGT